GTTTACTCTTTCTGCTAATTTATTGGCTAAGTGAAGATATGTGCAACTGCGAGTGTGGTGTTTCCATGGATGTCTCAAAAGAAAGTGCGGTGAAGGTCTTCAACTCCCACTACAACACAAATGGTATTTAGCAACATTTGAAAATTTTTACTTAATTATGTATAAATGTTGCTAATTTGTTTTAGCAACATATTATCAAATTTTGTATATACTCAATGTTGCTAAAGATTTTTAGTAACATTTTTGCATAATTAGGTAACATTTTTTAAATGTTATCAAAGTAGTATTTTTGTAACATTTTAATAATTTTTTGTAACATTTTAATGATGTTGCCAAGATTTTGTTAATCTTATAAAATAATAATTAATTTTAATTTAAATATTACTATCAATTATTATATTAATATGTCTCGTAAACTTTTAGGAATTCCTTAAATTTGTAGGTATCAAATTTCATTTATCTTAAATATAACTATATGAGTATATATACTTTTTATGAGTCATTAATCTATTCGATGTGGAACTTTAATTATGGGTTACAATTAGATATAAGAGAAATATAATTTTTTTGACTCGATGTGGAACTTTAATTTTAGAAGCAATTATAGTAACATTTTTTAAAAAAATGTTGGAAAATAATCTATGTAATTTTTTTTTACTCGATATGGAACTTTGATTTTGAAAACAATTGAAAAGAATAATATTGAAATAAAAAATATTACTCTATCTATAATATCATTTTTTTAAAAATGTTACAAAATAACATTTATATAATATATAGTAACATTTTAACAAATGTAAACAAAAAACTGTTGTTAAAAGATTAAAATCTATAGTAGTGTCCTTATTTGAAGTCTTATCCAACTCATATATAATATGAACACTCGAATCACGTGTATGTAGTAGAATAATTGAATTACAATTGTATTCTTTTCTGTGGACTAGTTAAAAGAACTGTGTCAATAATGTGCTTTCAGAGAGTCATGGAAATTAAGAATAACAACCATTCTTTGCATATAAATAAAGTTTAAGGAAAATATTTGTTTAGGATATAAAGAAAAAAACACTTTTTTCTTTAATTTGTAATACAATACGATAGAAAGGATTTTTCTCTTTTTCTTGATTTTAATGTTTATAATATAAATATTTTAAAAAAAACAATTCTATGTTTTAAAAAATAGATTAAACAATAACATTTTAATTAATATTAAAATATTTTTTATATGTACTTTATTTTTTTACTCATTTAAATAATAAGCATAAATTTTTTTATTCATCTACTGTACTTTTTCTCTTATTTCGCTCTTAACTTAAACTTGAGTATTAGAAGCAATGAGGAACTTGCCAAATATCAAAGATCCATGATGTCGACAAAAAGGATGGTGAATCTATAATGAATTCCAATTTTTACCAGGTCTGACTATATGCCTTGATTTCATTTAACTTTGACATGTTGAGATATATATAAATAAAGTTTTATATCGATAAAATAAAAGAAAAATAATATTTTTTAAAGTACTCGTATAATTCAATAATTGAGAGGTTTTTTTGGATGATAATAAAAAATAAAATCTATCTAAAACAGACAATATCTAACACTACTAGAAAAATATCATTTTTCTGCGAATTTTCCTACAAAAAAATATTCGCAGAAATTTTCTACAAATAATTTACAGATATTTCTTACAATTGTTTTTACAAAAAATAATTTACAAGAAATTTTTACAAATTTTGCTACAATTTTAATGATCATAAAAAAAATTTCCATCATAAAAATTTGCATAAAATATTATAAGAGTTTTATTTTGTTTTTTGCAGATTTTCTTGCAAAAATAAATTCTCAAATAATGTTTACTAACTAGTATAAAAATTTGCAGGTAACTTTTCCTGCCAATTTTAATCCGTAGAAAAAATAAAAAAAAAATTAAATTTATAAATTTAATATTTTAAAAAAAACTTCAAGTCCTACATTGATTGAAAATAAAACAATTAAAGAGAATATAAGTTGGGGTAACACTTACCTTACAAGTTGATTTGTATGGTTGAGTGTCAGACTTATAATATACAATCTTAGAATTTAAAAGATTAGGTATCACATGTTGGAGTAACGAGTATAAGGCTAAGGAGGGGAACCATCCCCTCAAAAGCCGGCCCAAGAGGTTGGAGAACCTCCCGCCTTATAAGGCCTCTTTGGTAAGGAGACCTCCCCGATGTGGGACTTGTTACATTACCACCCCCTTCGAAAGGGTACTTCACTTACCGGCACTTCACTCGACCTTCTTGCCGGTCAGAACCCTCCAATGGTCAGAACCCTCCGTGGGTAGCCCTTCTCGATTTGGCTGGCTCTCAATGAAAGCACTATTGTAACAAGCATAAGGCTAAGGAGGGGAACCATCCCTCAAAAGCCGGCCCAAGAGGTTGGAGAACCTCCCGCCTTATAAGGCCTCTTTGGTAAGGAGACCTCCCCGATGTGGGACTTGTTACAAAATGCTTTAGATGAATTCATTGTGAGCATTTGAAAGTTGAAGAATTATCGATAGAATTTATAGTAATTTCTTTAATTTTTTTCTTAAAAAATATTCTTGCAAAATTTCTTGCGAAAAAATTCGCAAGAAACATTCCTGCGAATTTTTTTCTGTAAAAAACTTTACTGTGAATTTTTTTTGCAAGAAATTTCGTAGGAAAATTTCTTGTAAATTTTAAAATTTGCAAAAATATGTTATCCACGAGGGTATTACAGATAAAATTTCGCAACGAAATTTGTAGAAACAAATATTATAAAAATAATAAAATCATAACCCTCTTTTTCTCAATAAATATAAATATTCCCTTAAATAAATATTATAAAATAACCTCAACATTATATTACCCATTCTAATATATTAGTTTTGATGATTTTAATTAAACCTTCACAAATGTATTGATGTATTGTCTTTGAATATGAAAAATGATCTTAGTTTTTTTTTTTAATGATGTTTCCATCTTGTGCCAGCACAAAAAAAATGATGTAAATAACTCAAATAAACTTATATTATTATTAAAATAATTTTTAACAAACAAAACAGTATCATTATTTTATAAGTAAACATTTTATATGACGATAACATCAATCATTTGATACGTTAGCATATTTTATATTCATTGTCATTTGTGGAAAGTTTTACCTAATGTTTAGGCGTTGTTTCCAGGAAGTTTCCCATTTTGCATTTTCCACATTTAAGAAATATCATTCAATTTCAGGGTTACAATTATTGAAATCGATTTCAAAGACTTGCACTATTCTATGGTCGTCGAATGGGCATGGTTAGAAGTTACCATGAAGGTGAAAGACAATATATCATACTCATGGTGATGCCGTTGACGCGTTCTTCTTCAATTTCTTTCCAACATACGTGCTATTTTTTGTTTTTTCTTTAATTAGTTTTTCAAAAATAAAATATTTATTACAGTTGACAGGTACAAGAGAAACTGAGAAGAAAATGAGTTACAACAACAATTTATTAATCAACATTTATATTAATATATGGTTCCGCGCAATGAATTTTGATGTTTTTGTGAGTCTACTATTCATTAGTCCTCCCACAACTACCTTGAGTGTACTATTCATTACATTACACTTTATCTTCAGCAAGTGAGTTTTCAATCTTCAAATTCTGCAATGGCTTGCATAACCAACAATAGCGGTTCTTCATCACGCACAATGAATTTTGATGTTTTTGTGAGCTTTAGAGGTGAGGATACTCGTAATAATTTCACTGATCATCTTTTTGCTGCTCTTCGAAGGAAAGGTGTTGTTGCCTTCAGAGATAACCAAAATATCAATAAAGGGCAACTCTTGGAACCTGAGCTCATGCAAGCAATCAAACGATCACGTCTTTTCATTGTTGTCTTCTCAAAGAATTATGCATCATCCTCATGGTGCTTGAAAGAGTTGACAATGATTTTTGATTGGGTTAAAGAAACAGGTCAAAGTGTTCTTCCTATTTTCTATGATGGAGAGTTTCAAAAAGCTTTTGCCGAATACGAAGAAAGCTTTAGAGATGATTTGGAAATGGTAAAAAAATGG